ATTCAACATTTTATATTCTATATACAAGTTAAGAAAAAACAGAATATTCTTATTGAAAGTAATCTCAAAATATCATCAAATATTAAGTGCATAATTAAATACAGAATCGGATGACAAGTTTTGGGGCAAAAAACAAATTTTAATAATCTCGAAATGTATAATTTAATTAAGTTATCAAAAAACTAATGCCTTTCTCTGTGGTAAACATATTTTCGAGAAATCTCTCAATCAATGAAATTGTGTGCACTTTTTGGTTGAGTAAAAAAATCTTAAAACTTATTGTTGACGGAGAATAACAGCGAAAATTCATGGCTTTCAATCATAACGAACTGCTTTTGGCAATAAATACTTTTAGAAAAATGATGTTCTGTTCCCGTCATACACTCTGCAACTCTTATTGTGTACTAGTTTTCAAATCAATAGTATATCCCAATCACTAAATAGAGATATCAATACATAGGAAGAATGAAAGGTTTTCAGTCGTTGAGTGCAGTTTGAAAGACATCTGAGATGTCAGTGAGTGAGTGGGAGAGAGGGAGAGAGAGAGGGAGAGAGAGAGAGAGAGAGACTAAGGACTATGAGAGATAAGAGAAGCTACACAATAGATAGGACTAGTATTGGATGTTATCCTAAAAACTTCTGAATAATTAATTTCAAACAATCGTTCATATTATCTGCCATTTGATCAGAAATTTACAATTTTTGTCACACAATGAAGAGTAATGTGAAGTCAATTTTCAGTGTCTCGCTTATCATCCGTTTTAAGTCAATCACAAGTAATTTAATTTATTTGACACGAGAAAAAACTTTGTCATATATTATATTATATGAGTTGCAATCAATTTATTTGTATTTTATTTTTGATTGCAACCATCTTTTATCGCAACTTTTCATTACTTTAGCTGTCATTTGGCTCTCTCTCTCTCTCTCTCTCTCTCTCTCTCTCTCTGTCTCTCAAATCTCCGGAGAATTAATTAATTATAGGAATTAAACAAAACTTTTTAATAATTAAATACACGGTTTTGCAACACAAACAGGAGTTCACGTTTCGGTTTTAATTATAAACTCTCATTTTCTATGTCTCCCATTATATTGAGTATACATTAGAAATAAACTATTCTGTGATTAATTAACTCAATTAAACTAATGTCGGACTTCGCCCGACAAATGACTTTTCATTAGTTTTAATCAATTTTAATGCTTTTATCGCAACAAAAATGTGTCACTTTTTCTACGACCGAAAAATGTAATGTTTTTTAAATTAGATTTACTACAGACACTAATTTGTTTAGACTCTATATCTATTTAATTATGACATCAATAAAGTTAACATTTTTAAAAATTCACTCCAATTCTCTTAAGCAAATACTAACATAGACTTAAAGTATATGTTTTTAAAAAATACTACGGATTAAGGAATGATAGCTCAGAATATGACAGATAATAATAATCACTCATAAAAGGCATAATATATCAAATAAATTGGCCAACAATTTATAAACTTACAAGAAAGTAAAACAAAAATACATAAAATAAGAATATTCTTAAATATAGCCCCAAAATAGATGTTTAAAGGGCAAAGGATGCATACCTGGACGCAACGTTGACTGAATTTCCCCACCTGTGAGCCAAGCATCGAGTTTATTAGGAAATAAATTAATAATCGATAAGTAATTAATATCGAGGGCTACTTATATTCAGATATAAATGGCTATAAATACAGGCATTAATAATAACTCACATATCATAGTGCGGTTTTCGGGCGCCTATAACTCCTGCTGTGATCGGCCCGTGATTTATGCCTATTGATCGCAAAATATAGACACAAAAAATGCATCTTTTAGTCAAACAATCAATAACTATATTCTTACAAAAAACGGTTAAATCAAATGACTTATGGGTCCTAAGACTAGAGAGCAATCGCACGAGAAAAGCAAAGCAAATCAAATAAAACGATTGATTTGTTACCCATTCTTAAGACAAAATTATTGAAACTCTCTTTATTGATGACATTGAGTGTGTCTTTGAGAGTGAGTGCAAACTCCGTGAGTTGTGCCAAATGAAACCATCGCTCTTTGATGGAGGCGTCCGCCCGCAGCGACTCCTCGCAGTTCAGACCACTGGCCGCCATATACGTCGATGAGATGGTCTTGATTTTGATGATATTGGCGAACCGGGGCTGCTCTAGAAGGGCGTCGTAATCGGATATGACTTCGTTTAGGAATCGGATGCACTCTAAGCCCTGGTTATTGACCGACTCCTCGGTGTAGAAGTCGGAGAAGTTAGGCATCGCGGCGAACAGTATGCCCACCGACTCGTAACTCTTTGAATACAGTTCCTGTCAAACACAAATCGGATGCACTCTAAGCCCTGGTTATTGACCGACTCCTCGGTGTAGAAGTCGGAGAAGTTAGGCATCGCGGCGAACAGTATGCCCACCGACTCGTAACTCTTTGAATACAGTTCCTGTCAAACACACCGTGTGTTCATATGATTAGACAATTGTCTCTCTAATGAATGCATGGCTTAAATAAATAGAGAATCTGTTCATTGAATACCTCATCGTTTTTGCGTTTGCCGAGGAAATGGATGGCCACGTGAGGGGGGAGTATGTTGTAGACGAGGGCCTCGTTCTTGCGCCGCATGTCCGACACCTTCTCCTTCTGCTCCTCGACTTCTTTTTGCCAGAGAAATAGTCGCCGAGACATGAGTTCAGACTATTTTGTATCGTTTTTTGCGGACAAATCAAATAAATTTTATATTAAATTAGTTTTCCAAGAGTTGTGTACATTGTTAGCAATGTTTTTGCAAACCGAGTGTTTGCTTAAGTTTTGTGACAAATAGAGAGAGCAGACAGACCTGTCTATTGATAATAAATAACGCGATGGCAATGGTTGCGATGATAATTGAAAGATAGCTTTCGTGGCCTAAGAAGTGTCTCCTGTCGTCATATGCCGTCAAATCATAGAATAATCGGATGCACTCTAAGCCCTGGTTATTGACCGACTCCTCGGTGTAGAAGTCGGAGAAGTTAGGCATCGCGGCGAACAGTATGCCCACCGACTCGTAACTCTTTGAATACAGTTCCTGTCAAACACATCAGTCAATTGACTCGTATTAGACGCCATTCATTATATACAGTACAACACACTGTGTGTTCATATGATTAGACAATTGTCTCACTAATGAATGCATGGCTTAAATAAATAGAGAATCTGTTCAGTGAATACCTCATCGTTTTTGCGTTTGCCGAGGAAATGGATGGCCACGTGAGGGGGGAGTATGTTGTAGACGAGGGCCTCGTTCTTGCGCCGCATATCCGACACCTTCTCCTTCTGCTCCTCGACTTCCTTTTGCCAGAGAAATAGTCGCCGAGACATGAGTTCAGACTATTTTGTATCGTTTTTTGCGGACAAATCAAATAAATTTTATATTAAATTAGTTTTCCAAGAGTTGTGTACATATTGTTTGCAAAACGAGTGTTTGCTTTAGTTTTGTGACAAATAGAGAGCAGACAGACCTGTCTATTGATAATAAATAACGCGATGGCAATGGTTGCGATGATAATTGAAAGATAGCTTTCGTGGCCTAAGAAGTGTCTCCTGTCGTCATATGCCGTCAAATCATAGAATTTAAAGAATTGGTCTAATTTGAAGACATTTAGACAACATTGGCCTATGACTAGAGTGAGTATAATGAACATTTTAACCAAATAACTGATTCTTGTGAGGGCTGTGACACTTAATTGGCCTAAAATACTAAAATAGCACAAGTATTGCGGCAATGGGTAGTAATCGTCGCTGTAGTTGAATGTCTCGAGTGATTGTGAGGGCTGTTGTGATCGAGACATTTGCATCGATCGGTTCATATTATATGGATTGAAGGAATCGTTTTGATAAAATACCTGCAAAAACATATGCATTCACACTATTAGCCCGTTATTCCACAATTCATTAATTCACTTGAAATATCACAGAATCCACAGAATCGAAAACACCAGAATCATTGGAAAAGACCTATAATTGGCAAAAATACACGAGTTTTGCTTACGTTTGTGAGAATGTGAGCAGTAATCCAGACGGCAATCATACTGCCGGCGATCACTAATCTGATCCAAGCCTTCTCTTGTACGGCGTGTGAAAGCGTTGCGATCGGCTTTGGAAACGACTGAACCATCGGATCAGATGGAGTACACAAATTCAAATTCAATTCAATATTAGGCTTAATATTTAGCATTAATTATGAAATCTACAGTAAATGTACGAACAGTTTAAAACCACTCTATACTGTGTTTACAACTTATTTACGATATAATAAGTAATAACCAATGGTTTAGGTCTACGAAAGTATTAGTCATAAAAATGAGTGAAACTCGGCTTACATTGCATAAGATGGGAGCCGTGCAGACAAATGCTTTGGCTATGAGTAGAGTTACGCATAAAAATAATACCAAATAAGTTGATAATCGTCTGGAAATATAAGAACATATATTCTTCATTAATTCCGTTTGAAATGCATTTTAAGGGCAAATAAATTAATGTGTTTTCATTTGCGAGGCGACTGTAATCGTCTCAACATCTCTATAACATATATAATATCATTATATCGGGCGCTGTTATGACTGTACAGTCGGTGCGCTTATAATGATATCATTAATGCTTATTAGTCCGCAACTGAAACACAGAGAGTCCGACAGAATGTCTGAAAGACTTTATGTCTCAAAGACTTTCTTCTCAATAAATTTTCTGTCCAATCGATTCAATGTTTGGATATTTGGTTTGAAATCGATTCGGATTACTGGGGATTGGCCTTAGCGTACAGAATAAGGCAATGGGTTTACTAATAGTGTAAAGGAAAGGGATGGCAGCGAATGGCAGTTATCGTAACGATCGTAATAAAGACTGAAAACTTACGGCAGACCAATGAGTAGGTATGCGATCAGATAGCAGAACAGCGTCAAAGGAAGTCCTACTAATGACACACAACTGGTTATATCGCGACTATTGCGGTACTGGTGCTCAAACGTCTTGTCCTTAAAGTTCAGCGTAAAGGGTTGGATGTGTTCCGAGACGTTCTTCTCGCCATCTCTGCTCAACAACTCCTGATATAATCGTCTCTTATATTCTTCAGGATCTTTCACGTCTTCCATGGATGTGATGATACTCTCAATGGGTTTTTGCTGCAGTTTTGTCGACTGCAATGGCATTCGCGGACATCATATATGATCGAAACAAACATAAAAATAGTATATATCGACAAAAACAATGATTATTGTCTAGTATTGTGCAAACCTCTTGTGGTATATCTTCAGCGCCATTGTCAGCATTGGTTTGCATCATATCAAGTGTTCCTTCGGGATACTAGACGTCACACCACATGAAAGCATAGCCACAAAAATATTGTTTATCAGACATTCATTCAGTTCTCTATCTCTTATAAGTTACATAACATTAGAGAGCTTTTCAATTATTTATGTAGAGTTTGCCATCAATTCTCTTGAAAGTGCTATTATTACAGTATTCTCTATAACTTTTTGAATCCATAATTTAAATTTATAATGAATTCTGTGCTATTCATTAATATTATATGAATTTGTGTTGTACTGCCGAGAGTTGCGATTACAAACATTTCTCGGAAAACAAAATACATTTAATGAATTTTGTGAGCAAATAAATGTAATGTAAATCCAAACGAAATAAAAGAGATTTTCGTAAATATTGTGATTCTTTAGATTCGTTGCAATTCTATACACGAAAACATAATAAGACTCGAAATTAAGGTTGAGATCAATAATTGAATTTTTGAGTACAACAAAAACTTTAACAATCAATTCAGGGGATCCACTCAACTGAAGGGAAATCTATATCTATACATAGAATATGATATATTCTTGAAGTATGGCAAATGTGATATACTGTTAGTTATACTGTATTTGATTCGCTTTTTCTGTTATATAATTATCGATATTTTTGGTCTTTTATTGGCGTTTAGTGATAGATAAGCATTGAATAGAGAGTCTGAAAGCACTTTTATCCCAATCTATAGAGCACTCGGAGTTTTATTATTTTATTTACTCTAAAAATAGTAGGGATTAATCAGATGAGTGTTATTGTTAGCGCTAATACTAGATGTGTGCTATTGTTTTAAGGCTTTAATTTGCATCCAGTCATGAAAAGCGCATTAATTATATGATAAGGCAATCGTTTAAATGAAATAATAAATAATTTTTAGGTTTTATTGCAAACACTTCTCGCTATCTCTCTCTCTCTCTCTCTCTCTCAAATTTGCATCCAGTCATGAAAAGCGCATTAATTATACGATAAGGCAATCGTTTAAATGAAATAATAAATAATTTTTAGGTTTTATTGCAAACACTTCTCGCTATCTCTCTCTCTCTCTCTCTCTCTCTCTCTCTCAAAAGCGACTCAATATTGTGTGACATTTAAATATAAGGCATCTATAAGTATAAATATAACTCAATTTCTATTTTATAATCGATTAAATAAAAGCAATTCGTTGTTCAAATTAGTCGACCGTACAGACGATGAACTCTAAGCCTACTCTCTATTTGATGCACAGATTACTTTGAATACAATTTTCTTCAAATTAATAGTCAAAAGCCTTTAAGTTTTTAAAGATTTTAAAAAAATTTGTGAATTTTATTTAAACTGAAAATACAGCACAATATGTGCCTTTAAATATTAAACAGCACATGAAAACTAATTTCTGTTGAATAGACACAAATCATCTTATGTTAAGAATAGTCGAAAAGATTGTCACAAATATAACAGGATTTCTAACGATAACTATAAAAGCCATTGTGTGCGCAATAAATGACTGCTCTTTTAATATTTATATAAACAGTCAATAAATAATCGATAAAATAAGATATAAACGTCGATAATATAGTGATTGAAAATCTAATACATAAGCCGTGAGTGTAGATAACGTTATATTAAAGAGCATTTGGTCTCGAATGGATGGCAAACAAAACAAATGATTTATTTATAGACGAAATACGCGGCATATGTCATAAAATCGCGGCATAAAGACTCACGGGTTTGATGACACGAACGATGAAATAAGTCTTAATGCCGGTGAGTCGGATGGCCTCCTCCCTGGACGCCCCGTCTCCGTCCTCCACTTCAAACTCTCCGTTCAAAAAGCTAAACGTCTTCTCCGATATGTGAACTCTCCTGACATAGGAATCAAGAATTTCGTGTCAATTGTAGTTCACATCTCAAACATCAAACACAATCTATTATTGATAGCAAACTCATCGAATAAAACAATAATTTCATTAAAACAAGACTGTCTTTAGACATGTTTTTCGTAATAAACTCACAAATCGATTAAATAAGTTATTTTGCAAATTGAATAATAAATGAAATATTCCTTCAAAAGTGACACGAAAAAAGTGTCGACAAATCACAAAATAAAACTCAATTTATTAAAAAGGAAATAATAATGTTAAGTAGTTTGCGTTGAATGCAAGAATATTCTTATGATTTTGACATAAGGATTAGCGTATGTAAGTCGACAAATAGTCAGAATATAATATACAATATTTGTATGCCTTATACTGTATTTGCAGAGTAAGGCAAAAAACACAATTACTGTGTGTATGTATTTAATACTAAATAATATTCTGTAAAAATCTTTTTCTTTAAATGTTTTTGAATGACACTCACTGTATATTGAAAAGAAAACAATTTAAGCAATTGTCTGATAGTCTAATGTATATCAAGAATATACTTGTATATAATCTCAAGAATAATATTAATATATCTTATATAATCTTCAGAGAAATTATTCTTATTCATAGAGTAAATATTATATTATATGATTGTATTATGCAGTAAATGAATTGTTTTATGTAATTTTGTACAACATATGCATTTAAATGAGATCTGCAGTGCATTATTATAACTACAACTGACATCAATTCATTGTTTGAAAATATAAATTATTTTTCAAATACATTAAAACAGTTGAGAGAGTAAATTGCAGTAATTTTTCTCTCTATTTTAGTTACAAAAAGAACTGCTTTTTAAATTTCAAGCACAGAATTCTGGAGTAAAAGACTATTTTTAAATAAATATTTTTTCTCGAGTCAAACGTTGAGCACAAAAATGCATTTTATATTAAGATTTGTGGCATTCTTTGCGATCATATTCTGACTATTTCTCTACATTATAGCCTAAAAAAGAGAGTAAAGCTATAAGTATTGCAGTGAATATGAAAAATGAAATAAAACACAAAGACTTTTTTGAATCACAAAAAATATGAATAGTTTTTTCGGTGTAATTCATCAGAGGCTGCAAATTATTCCGCGAGAAAAATGACTTTTTAGGTCAAAACCGGCATTTCGTTGGTTACCATAAATTCAGACGGAATTTCGCGTTGCATTCATGGCTCTAAAGCCTTACCTATATTTACAACTTTTATTAAACTTAATAATTCATAAGCGCGCCTACATTTAGATAATGGTTTGCATGGCTTGTGCCGTATATTATAATATTGATTACAAGTTTATGGTGTTTATGGACGCACTCGGAGTCTGTTATTCTTCGCACACACTTTTAGCACAGACTAAAAAGTGTTACAAATATTGCAGATATTGATAAAACACATCAACCGCTAGATGTGTAAGACATTTATTTTTAGACACAGTGTGTGTGAGTGCATCAAAGTATTATCACTAATGACAGGTTCACTAATGCAATGCATACATACCCGGGCAAACCTCCGCTCTCCATCTTATTGGCGAACTCGACATCACGACTATAGACGTCGAACTGCCACTGTCTCTGTCCGAGCACACCGGCCAACACACCGCCCGTATGGACGCCTGTATGTCATGAAACGCATCGTTTAGTATGTTATGCTAATTTGACGATCCATTTCCTGATACTAACCCACTCTCATGTCGACCGGAGATTTTGTCTGCTCTCTAACCGACCTTTTAATGCAATAGAATTGAGAAAAATGAGATAAAAGTGCAAATAAAACCGGGATTTCATTTTATGCTAAGAATTTGTTTTGCAACATAAAGTGTACATAAAAGCGCGTAAATTCCTGGAAAAAAGCATTTAATCAAAATATATTTGTTTAGAGACGTTGATTATAAATGAAAATAAAGCAACTAAAAACACTTTCTTTTGAAACAAAATTATTTTTAGCTATAATTAATTCGGTTGAAAAACACAGAATATTCTGTATATATTCGCAAAAATCTCGTTATGATAGGATCGATAGTATAAAGAATATAATGGACTGATTTCGAGTGAATCAATATTCATGCGATACAACACTTTTGTCTCAGTCTTTTCAGTGCATTAAAACTTTTTTTGGGGTATATTTCACTATAAAAAGTTAAGTTTTCCTTTTGGTGTGTGTTTTAAATCGATTTGAAATCTTACACACAATAACTTCTGACAGAAAAATTTGAATTTGAAATATTGTCTCAAATATACTGTAAAAGTGGATACAGTTTTTATGAATCGCTGAATCTCATTGAAATGTATATATAAAAAGAATAATCAAATAATCCATAACTAAATGAAATGCTCAAGAAATCTAAGACTCTGCGAGCAGTGGTATAGAGAACTGCAGAGCATTTTCACGCCAAAAGATGCAAACCATACATATAATGAATATAAAGATCTTTAGACTCATATAGTGTTAGAGTCTCAATAAAATCACATTTCCTGGCGAATAACAACACATTTACAGTGTTTTGTGCGAAACAAATAGAAAAATTAAAGACAACGTAAGAACAAGTGATAAACAGCGCTCACAAAATGCAATATCAAATGAATGTGTCTTTAAATGAGAGCAAAATTCATTAGAAAATCGATTACATCGGGAATCGAGAGGGAAAAACACATAACAGTAATTGTTTTGATAGCTAACTAATGGATTAGAGTAGAGTTGATTACCTGATGGCGTCGACCATCGATAGGCCCATATGAACGCAGAGGACTGCATGGTCTGACCGCTCCTCTGGTGCGCCGCTTATACAGTAATAGCAATCGCCTAAGATCTTGATCCGCAACTGATGGTACTTCTGCTCGATTTAGACACAAATATAATTATTTATATTAAAGTCATTTTAATTGTGAAATACACTATACTGTATAATAGGGGAGAGGGAGGGAGAGGGAGAGAGAGAGAGAGAGAGAGAGAGAGAAATGAGATATTAGTCTCTGGCAAAGACTAGTGCCTAAACACACAACACATCTCACAGTCGGAGCCAATTATATTTCGGCTCTAATGAGCGCCGGCTTTGCATTCATTATACATTAGACGAGAGAAATAGGGTTTTCCGAAAGAATTCAATTAATTTGCAAATGCGAGCAAAAGACAAATTAAAATGAATTTATATAAAAGTAGTCTAAAAATAAAGCAAAAATTAATTTGTAAATCGAGAGAAGCACTCACATCTGATAACTTATCAAATCTGGCGAACAGCTCGTTGAGGGTTCTGACGAGTTCTGGTGCCGGACAGGTAGATGAGATGGCTGTGAAGCCCACGATATCCGCGAATAATATGCTTTTTGTAATGAAAAGTACACAAAATATTTGCCAAAATTAAAAATCAATATTTATTTGTTGAAAGTGTTTGAGAAATACCTCACGTTTTCGTGTCGACTATATATATATGAGGAGCGGAACGAGAATTTCAAATCAAAACAGAATTTATATAAATATTTAAAAATATATTCACATGTTTTACTATTAAATGCATACCTCATATATATTTTGTGAAACTGCCCCTCGACTACGGCCCCCAAGTCTTGACGTATCTCTGCCGCGACATGTTTTGGTAGGACTGACAGCAATAATCTCTCCTGAAATTCATACCGGAATTATATTATAACACAAATGCGAGACACAAAACAAAAACAATAAAAATCCATTAATTAGTGTATGAATCGAAAAGAAAATGTAAACTAAAATAAATTATTTATGGATAGAAGTGGTTCTTAATGGATATTAACTCAAAAAAGCAAATAAATTATATGGAATGGGGTCTCAGGAATAGACAGCTACTGGTGTATAGGATGTCATTAGGAATGCATGACATGACATACCTGTTCCTGTGATTCCTCCTCGAGAACTAATTTCACTTCAAGACTTTGACGCGTCTCGAGGAAGGCTCGCCTCTGTTGCCGCTCGTAGAAGAAGAAAGACATTGTGCCCAACAAATTGGTGGCCAAGAATAAGATCACATTCGCTGCCAACTACTCGGCCATTGAGAGCACCCGTACCACACATACAACAAATACATGTCATGAATACAATTGAATAATACATGAAAGAGAGGCACTTATTATTTGTGAGCAAAAGCTCTTATTTGGGTTTCAATCAGATGTTGATTTGAGAGCACTTTTTAAGTGCTAAACAAGAATTGGTTTTGTTATGTCTGTTATGTGTAAATGAAATGAAATGAATGACTGAGTGCTGACCTGATTGACAAACATGTCTTGTCTTCGGCTGGGGACGAGTGTTACGAACAGGAAGTGTATGAAAGCCATGAGAATGGCGAGTGTACTACAGATGCGGAGTCTGAGGGGGTATATGACATACGCCGAGTAGGTGTACAGTAGTATCAAAGCCACGGAATCGCTGGGCAGTGCGGGCACAGCGAACATCCAGACATCACAGAAAATCTGAGCCATTTGTACGGACCATAGGATGAACGGAATCACTGTCCAGACGGTCGACGTGACCGCCTTCTCGACCGACTGGCTCTGACGGTTCACACACAACACCAGCGCTATCAGAGTGAACGCAAACGTCACAAACAGTATTCCCATTTGAGGTAAATGTGTCGATGAATAGGACAGCGAGTATAGCAGGAAGAGCACCACATTGACGATCAGCACAATCACTATCAGTGTCTTGAAGTCACTTCGCTTTTCGGTTTCATAGTATTCCCGATACAGGCGCTCGGCGTCTCTGTCGGCGAACGCAAAGTGCATACAAGTCGGCAGAAATCGCTGGACACCCGAGTGGTCGATACTCAGGTCCGTGTCGCCCCTCTTCAGCACCAGCGACTGCCTCTTAATCCGCACCCGAGGCTTGTCTTTGTTGGCACTGTTCTCGCCGTTTATTGGTTTCAGCTGCTCCTCCACGTTGTCATCGACCACCTCATCCGTGTCGTCGTCATTATCATCGACGCATTGGTCGCCACTCTGGGCCTCAATTGTGGTCAAGTCCTTCAGCCCATTACTACTGAGCGTTCGTTTAGTCATTGTATGTATTGTCACACAAATGGTGTTGACGTCGACGGCCACAGATGTCTTCACTCAACGCATACTTTGACTCTCACTTGAGACACAAATCTGTTGATAAAAGCATTCATTAAATAAGTTTTTTAAATCGATATGACTTTCCATTCAATATAAATATATGGCTTATAAAGAGCCAAACGATTCGTACAAACGTCTCGAATCATAGGCAGCGACTGAATGGTAGCGAAACATATGAGGTCTGAGAGTTTGGGATTGCATTCAATTCACTGTATAATAAGTATCAGTAAATCATTGAATAGAATAGTAAAGCAGAGAATATACAGAATATATACAGGAGTTTAGTGTTGGCCTTATATACAGTATGAATGTTATGGTAGCGCTGTTCTGGGCGTTTGTCGAGCAAAGTAAACACACATCCAAATCAATTCAATTACAATATATGTGTCGGCGGCTGTTTGTTGGCAAACCTGTACCCCCGGTGCTTTTGGTAAGCCGTATATATTAGATAAAACCTCAAAACACTGACCTCTCGCTCCGACAGCGAAAACGTTAATAATTTGAAGTAATTTTAAGGCTTCAGACAAATAAATTAGAGCATAAGGCAAACAGAATATTCTCTCGTTTTTCAGCAAATATCGCATTGAAATGACAGTAAAATAATAGATTACCATCGTTTCAAATATCAAATACTTTTTGTTATATAACATCGAAATAAGACTTACTTATCAGTGACACGAGCTCGCAGTCACCTACCCGTGCCTTACAATTCATTTTAAATCATAAAAAACAGAATATTTTATGATATGCTCTATAATTGAATTATTCACAAATTCTGCACAAAATTCTCACACACAGTAATTGAATGCATATTTTTAAAGTGCAAAACTTAAAATAGATTCCAACTATATTAAGAT